GGGGGGGGGGGGTACATTGTTTTGTCCAATGAATCAAATGGAGCGGAAGGTTGAAATTGGCATTATCATTACCCGCGTGAAACCGGGGGATCATTGTGTGTCGGAGCACTCTATCGTCTTGCTTTCGACAACCTCTCACGCTCCGAGCCTGAGTCACCGCTAGTCATTTGGTGTTCTCCTCTGAACGCCTCTTTTCCCCAAATCTATTTCTTTGTTCCAACAGGTGGCCAAGAAGTACAACCTCTACACGAAGGTCACTGGCGGGCAGCGGATCGACATGTTCGGTGCTGAGAAGCACCAGGTAACCCCAGCCACCCTACTGTCTGTAGAAGATGGAAGGAACTCCAAATCAGCATCGGGTTTACTCTTGTGCCGGGCGCGCGTGCCACATCTCACATCTCACACCTCTCATCTCACATTTCACACCTCTCATCTCACATCTCACATCTCACATCTCACAGCGCTTTCTCCCTCTTCCCAGGAGGTACCTAGGACCTATCATAAGTACCGGTAAATGATCCCCTCCAGAGTGGGGTCATCATGAGAACATCATGAGAACATAGGCAGTGGCGGTGTCCGCGATGGCAATAGGAACAGACAGGTCCAGCCCGCAGCCTAGCGGCCAACTCCCGGTTGTGACGTTCGCCAAGCCCAGCAGCTGACACAGCTGACGTTTTTGTTGGCTCGAACCGCCCAACGAACTCCAACCAACCAACCAACAACATATATATTTTGTAGTACTTCTAATGCACCTCGTATTGTCAAATGTAGTGCCGTGCCGCCCCGCAATTGGTCGAGCGGGAGCCTGAAAAAATCCTTCGCCCCCTGGCACAACTTGCGTGTCAGGACTGCAAGCGTAGCGGGGATTGTGCACACCACCGAAGAACCATGAAACACTGAATACCCTCCCCAAACCCGTTTTGTCTCTGTTGCTGTGATTTGTTGACGTGGGACGCCACCCTTCCTTGCAGCTGCCGTCGATCTGGGCCGAGCTTGGAGAGGCTGGGCTGGAGTCTGGTCACGCTTACGGCAAGGCCCTGAGAACGGTTAAGAGCTGCGTAGGGTCCACGTGGTGCCGATACGGCGTACAAGACGCTGTTACGTTCGCCGTGCGGCTTGAAAACCGATACAAGGGTGAGCTGTTGTCGTTGTTGCGCCTGCTGCTGCAGTTGGCTGCTGTTGATCTGCTTTTGGCCTGGTTGTTGCTGCAGGTGTGGTCGGTGCGCCTCTATACTCTTTTTCTTTTTCCGTAGCTGGGGAGAACCAATTTCAGCGAGAAAGACTCGAATGGATAAAAAAGCTACACGTTTGGTTGCAAGAAGCATGATCTCCAGCAATTCTGCTCTGGTTTGTATGTGCTTTCTATATATTCGTATATTTTGCAAGGTGCGAAGTAGCGTTTGTAACATTTTGTTCTTTCCGCATGTCCTCAAGCCTGCACTCGACGTCTCCCGCGCCCTCTATCCCAGGCCTCCGGTCCCCCCACAAGCTCAAGTCGGGAGTGTCCGGGTGCGTGCGCGAGTGCGCCGAGGCCCAGGGCAAGGACTTCGGCCTCGTAGCCACCGAGAACGGCTACAATCTTTATGTCTGCGGCAACGGGGGCGCCGTGGCCAGGTTTGTAGGTGGAACCAAATACTGCTGCTACTGCAGTCTACCTGCTTCGAGGGTTAACGGCCTGCGGAAAGACGACTGTCTGCGGATCCCTTGTTTTGATGTGATAAAAACTGTCCGTTTTCTGACTTGCCTGGTACTCCAGCCATGCCTACTAGTCTCACTGGGGACTCCGGCGCCATGGCGGCGGAGGACGTCTGCAATATCCACGCCCGTTGTCTTTTTCTGGAGCACATAACAGCAGCGGTTGCGAATCACCTCCTCTGAGCTTGCGATATGGCTTGTTGTAGTCCACGGTTCGGTTCGGCGCTTGCTAACGGTCCCCTGGATGCCCTTTCTCCTTGTACTACATATTCATACCCCCCCACCAGGCACGCCGACCTGCTGGCGACGGACATCAGCGAGGAGCTTTGCATCAAGTACATCGACCGCTTCCTCATGTTCTACATCGCCACCGCCGACCGTCTCCAGCGCACGTCCGCGTGGATGGAGAAGCTCGAAGGAGGTGGGTGTTGTAGTGTCCCGCCCGCCCGCCCGCCAGATCGTTCCTGATGCCCTTCCTCCGCTTCGAGATGTTCACGTTGCCGTTGTCGTGACCATCCCGCCCCCCTCCCGGACTACTGCACCACAGGCATTGAGTACCTGAAGGAGGTCGTGATCAACGACAAGCTGGGCATCGCCGAGAAGCTTGACGCACAGATGCAGCACGTCGTGGACACCTACCAGGACGAGTGGGCTACCGTTGTCAACGTGAGACTGAAAACCTCTACTGAATCATATGGTATAACTGAATACCTCTCGCTTCGCGAAGTTGTCTATGCTGTATGTAGTCTCTGTTCCCGTTTCACTGCTTGAGACGAGTCTTAGGTTTTACTGCCTGCTTTATTTATCAGGCATCAATTTCGCCCCTGCTGCGTGCAACATGGCATGTTTGGTCTGGTTTTCGCCGTTTCGTTCCCTGAGCTGTCTTTGCGCGGAACACGTCCGCCCCCGCGACATAGAGCCAGACGCGGCGACTTTTGGCGTCGATTACGCGCGCCACGGGTGGGTGGGTGGGTGGGTGCCTGGCAGGCCTCGGGCGTGCGCGCAATTGTTTTGTACTTCCTGTTAGAATGAGCCTCCTGCGTGCCCGTGAGCAAGCGTGAGAAAATATTCACAATGCTCACTGCCGCGCGAGGAAGCTGTTCCGACGCACGAAACAGATGGTACATCGGGTCGGGTCTGTTCGTGGGTCTACGGACATGGTTTGGATACATTAGCCATACGTACAAGTGTGACGCAGATGGTGTAGAACCTTTTAGGTAGGGGTACGGTGATGATGCACCGGGACCCCCTTTGTTGAGTGCAGCAGCCGCGCTGCCACTCTCTCTTTCTCCTCCTGCTTTCCGAGCACGACAGCGTCCTGGGTACGGGCGTTGTCTCACCGTCTGAAGTTAATACACTACACAAACAAGTCCCGATAAGTACGCGGAGTACGGCCGACAAACACTCTAGAGTTGATTGTCCCTCGAGGGATAGCCGCATCGGGTCATGTCTGCGTCGGACAGCGGTTCCGTCGCAGGGCTGGGGGAAGAGACCTCAGCCACGCAACAGCAACACGCCGAGGATCCGGCGATTGCGAGGCTGGAGGGCCAGTTATCGCAACTGATGAGCGTAGTGATGGAGTTGAAGAGGAAGGAGCCTGGTGACGCCGTGGCGGGCGATGCCAGTAGGGGCAGCGGTGCTGCCGTCCCAAGCCAGAGAGAGGCTCTGCCGCCTGGGGGCGGCGGGGCATTTTCCCGGGAAACGGCCCGTGATGGGCGAAATCACCCGCGGGAAAGCAGCTGGGACAACATACCGGGAGCGAGTCCTGGGGT